TGGATGGGACGCGCTGAGTTGGGGTGATGCAGGTGGTGGAGGAAGAGGGTGATGTTGATTGGTGATGAAGTGACGAAGCTGGGTGACGGTTCGCAAAGCTGGAAGCAATCGATAGTCAGGATGGAGAGCCGAACTGTATCTCAGAACTCTGATTTGTGGGCAAAGAGTGAATGGATGCCTCGGAGTGTGGCAATGACGAGCGCGCAAGCGTATGCGTGGGAGTCAACTTGGTGGGAGAGAGGGATCAAGGCGCTGCAGACTCAAAGCGGAGCTCGAACTCGAACTAAAGCGCTCCTACGCATTGACGATCCATGCGGTGCTGTTGTGTACCGTACTGTAGCTGGACTTCAAGCCAAGATCGAGCGTGCTGCAGCATGACACATGGGCAGATGGAGAGAATCTGTAAGAGAACAGCCAGCAGCAAGAAGAGGCATCCAGCAGCATGGATGGTCCGGAGAGAGGTGCGCTGCAAATGCTGGGCTGGACGCCATGCAGTGCCTGGCCATGCACGGTTTGCGTGGCACGGCACGGCACGGCACAGCAGCGGTGGCAGGCACAAAAGATGTGCATGCATTTCGTGCATGTGGGCGCAAGAAGCATGCGGGCGCGCGCGTGCGCGCCCGCGGCCTCGCTCTTGATGCTCATCGTCGCAGCACGGCCAACTAGGCGCGGTACCCCGTACCGCTGCGCTTGCGTCACGTACGTCACAACTCACACTCAGACTCACGACTCATCGAGTGACGCTCAGCAAGAGTCAAAACTCGTGACTGCTGTACCGGCGTAATCGAATCAAAATCAGAATCGTGAATACACGTGCACGCGGCGCCAGGGTTCATCTCTCTTGTCCACGGTACCTACCTTTATCTGCACCTGGGTCTCGACGCAACAGCAGCCCGCAAGCACACCAAGTCGATCGAGGTAAGCCGAGCGAAGTCTCCGATGGCTTACAATCACGGATGATAAAGGGTGTCCGATGAAGCCGCATGCACCGCAAACCCTCGACCGTCGCACGTGTGATATGGGTCCCTTCTCGCTCAGACGCCGCGAGAGTCTGATGAGTAGCCAAGGCCGCGTTCAAAGTTTCGATTGTATTGTGTAGTTTCAAGCTCGGAATTTGTCCACATGAGCAAGACGGTGCCTGTATTGAAGGGCCGGGAGTCGGTCAAGGTGCCCGCCCGCAAGAGCGGCCGGCTTGTCAGTACAAGACCTGCTGCCCTGCCTTTTCAAGACTGTGACTGCTCAAATTCACGCGACCCTGATGATGGTCTGCTCTTCCGATGCAGAGACTGCATCCGTACCTCGTGTTTGTTTTCCTGCTCCCTGCTCCTCAGTCTCGGGGTGAATCTCATTTTCTGCCTCCGCTGTGGAGAGAACCTCAAGCCCTCCGCGACTTGTTTTGAAGTCAAATGGCGCCGGTGCGCCGTCAACTTGAATTAATTTATGACACACCGAGACCTTAGCTGCGCGGAGAGCTTGGTGAGAATCACCATGCAATGACTGAGTGCGCTGAAAGGTACTGATCGAATGTTGACAGCTTCATCGGCCCTGCGCCGCAGAGCTTGCTCGAGGACAACATGCCCCGGTCAGGACCGTGCATGGATTGGATCCGCTCATGATGTATTGAGTCTTGAGTGCGGGGCCTGATCGGGGCTCACTCAAAATTGAACTCTTGAATATTCGAGCTATAGCTTCTTCACATTGGCTGATTCTGACATCGTGATTGCGTGAGAGGTCATGAGAGCCGCCAGCAGCTAGCATCGCAGCAGAGCCGTACAAGGGCCCTCGGCACTTCGGCGTTCTGCAAGCTGCGCCCGACCTCATGCGCGTACTATTATACACGCGGGGGATCGTTTGGCCTGCTGCTGGCGCCGTGTGTTCCGAACAAGTCGTCGCGAAGCCGTC